AGCGGCGTTCTGGTGCTCTCCGTCAGAACTGCACCCCTGTCAGACGAGACATATACCACGTGATGACACGTTAGGCTCGTGTTGTGTTGAAGGACCCTGACCTTGGCCAGGAAAAACAGGCACTCGCTTGTTTAATTATTTTGCGGTCTAGATTTCTTTAATTTTTTTCTTTTTTGCGTGTGTTTATAAATTACCTCGAGGGCCGTACCAAATGGTCTCGCGGTCCGTATACGGCCCGGAGGCCGGAGGTTCCCCACCCCTGCTTTAGATGGATCCTTAAGGTTAAGGAACATTTCGGATACAATGCTCCATGATGGCGGGATTAAATGTTTACATCCTCAATCCATAATAAGAAAACATAGGGAAATATCTAGGTAGTCTTTATCTGCTACAATGCAGATATCTCCACTGAGAGGTCTGGGTTTACTGTATATAGCAAATAGCTATTCCACCATCCTAGTAAGTAAGTAAGTAAGTAAGTAAGTAAAGTTTATTTATAAAGCGCTTTTCACAGACAAAGTCACAAAGTGCTTGACAAAAACAATAAGACATCCACATAGGAGGCGTACAATGATCAATGAACCCACATGTTAAGAAGTCATAAAAGCACCAGAGCATAATTAAGACACAATAAAAAAAAATAAAAAAATAAAAGAAAGAAAAACAATAGAAATCCTACAGACACTGCCATCACAGGAGGGTTCTCCACTTATTAACTACCACATCAACCAAAGCTGAAAGCAATGTGTCTCTCTGCACTCAGGTAAACAAATGATGAACCACTGCAAATAGTTTATACACCCACATACATTCCCTCACTCCAATTTACGCTCCAATTTGCATTCCACTGGACAATAGATTATACAGGCCAAAGGTAGTCAGTTAACATTGGTGCAGAGCAGTGAAGCTTTGTGTGTATGTATATGAGGGCTGTAACAGTAATTGCCCTGACTTTATAAAGCTGTTTTTGTTCAGCCTAATCAGACAACAATGAGTGTTAGGAGACTCTATTATGTCGCAAAGAGAGACTAGCATTATGCTGCTCACAAAGCCTGTCCAACACTGCCGACACACACCAGGGTGTAAGACCGGAGCTCCTCCACATTACACCATCAGGTCAGAACGGCTATAGGAAGGGTATGTTCATCTGGCTATATGCTGGAGATACTTATTGTCACTGAATGAACAATAATGTTAGACAACAGTAAAGCTCATTATGAATGTTTCAAAGGTTAACTTGGCCAAGCCATGACAGAAATAGCAATTGACAACAGTATTGCACTTTGCATTATTGGTTGCAATATTAACACATTTTCATTGTGTCTGTTTTTTTAATGCACCAACACTCTCTCTCTGTCTATGTCTCGCACAGGTCAACACTGAAAGGCTTCGGATTTAGTGGGAAAAATAACCAAAAATAATAACAAATATGTACACCTGGAGTGGAGTGCACCAGCTGGGCGTAAAAAAGTAGGTCTTAGCTCTAACGTCGGGTTTAGCTACGTCCGATTTAGTGATTCGAATTTACACCGAGTGCACCAAGCCTGGCTAGTCACGGTCGTAGCTGCGCCTAGTCTTAAAATGCGCGTCCACGTCAATACACGCAAAACAGTAATTGTTGCCAAGCTACACACGTCTACATAATGTAACCCTCGAACTTCTCCATTCAAAGCAATCAGCAGCTGCAAGGTTGGGGAGAGAGCGTAGCGTTTCGGTCTGATCCGTGCTGTAGTTGAGGGGAGATCTCCTCGATTCATTCATAAAGGGCATGTCTGCCAAAAGGAAACCGCTCTATCAGCTCATTGTCCGAATAGATGTCCAGTGGGTTTTTTCGATCACGGATGACTCTTTCTCGCCTTAACCTGTTAAGCCCTGAGCCTGTTTTTCAGGTCTCAGGCTCAAAAATGACATTCCCAGAACAATGACCATATCTTCCCTTCTAAAAGGGTTAAAATTAATAATCTTTTTTCTCAAAGTAATGATAAACCTGTGAGTTGGATGTAGAAAAGTCAGAATCAATATAGATGTTTTTTATTTTAAAGAAAATTCAGATTTTACATAGTAAAAAAACTGTAAATTATAGTGTCCGTCCAAAAATTATTTTTTACTTATAGTGAAAACTACCCTTGGATGATGGTAAGGTAGACTAAAAGCTTTAGGAATCCAAAGTACAACATATAATAAGTACCCTGTATCAAGATTGATGCAAAACAAGTGACATTTGACCTTTTTAGAGAGGTTTAGCCAAAAACACTCCACCTCTGAGGTGATTTGGGTGAAAATGTTTTTTTTTCATATCTCTGGAACCCATTGGTCGGACCGTTAGAGCCAATAGAATCGAAGGGGGAGTCCCCCACACACACTCATTGTGAAACAAAAAGGTAAGGGCTTTGCGCATGTAATTTTGCATTAGAGTGAAGCTACATTCTAGCTCTGACATCTAGAAACGGAATAGCATGGATTATCCGTTTTATTGCTCATGGATTATCAGAAATCATTTCAAAGGGACACAGACACATTGGATTAACCTATGGATTAACTTCAGCAGTGTTTTTATCGTTTTAATGCCATTGAAGACCACTTTGGAGAGACTACAGAGCCAAGGTAAGAATGTTAGCATTTTTAGCTACCTAGCGTCACCTGTTTTGATGTCTGTTTTTGTTTATAACGTCGCAAATTCGTATAATTCAGTGATAATGAGGGTACCCATCGATTCTGTGTCACCTCACGATGTGAATCGATGTCATGGATGTGGAGAAAAGATAAATAATAAGGTTTTGTGAGTGATTTTCGGTGCAGTAATCTGTTAGCATTTTTCGCTCGTTGCTAATTCAGAGGCTCAGTGTTAGCATTGTGGGTTTTCTTTTGAAAAAAAAAAAAAAAAGATCAGTTAGATGAGTTTCTTCCCGTTACATGGATATAAAACATTCATAGTTTATTAAATGAACATGCCCTCAGACACTGTTTCCTGCACAATGTTGCGGCAGTGCCCCGGGACCAGGGTCTCTCGGGCTTAACAGGTTAATGTCCTTTTGTTGTTAAACCTGTAAACAAGACGCACTGCCATCGTTATTTTCCTTCTTGCCTGTTTTACGTTACTATGGATACTAGTCTGTCTTTCCGATTTACGCCTGCTCCATACTAGGCGTAAAAGCTACACCCAGGCGCAACGCATACAGGGCTTAAGTCTAAGTGGTGCACTAGTCATAACTTTAGTTTGGTCTTAACCTTCGGTTCTACGTCGGACATAGAGTTACGACCAGTCTTACGCCCAGCTGGTGCACTCCACTCCTGATGTCCCAAACAATAGGACATTTTCTGTTCAAAAGGCTATGATTTACAGCAAAGCAACCTATTGTGTAGACTTAGCGGGCCACTAACATGTATCAAAAATTGTACACCACATTTCAGGTGGAACCAGGGCAGCCCCTCCCTACTCCCAGTGGGGCCTCATCTTGCAGAGGGGGCCCGCAGTTGTGTACAGACCCGAGGGGCCTAGTGAAACACCTTTGCGTGGGGCCACAAGTTGGCCAGGGGCAGCCCTGGGTGGAACAAGCTTCTTATTGAAATCAGGACAGCAGGAACAATACACATTTTCTGTCACAGACTCACTTGTTTCCACTGCACATTGGCCATTCAAATCTTTATAACGTTGTTGTACTAAAAACTGTTTGGGTTTTTTTAAGCTAATGTTATTCCTTGATTCCTGCTGTTCTGAATTTTTAGAGGGGTATGTGTGTGTTTGTGCCTATTTGATTATGTGTGTCTGCCTGTGTGTATCTTTATTGTCCAACATACCCACTTGGGACAGAAAAACTGTCGATGTGGACATTATTCCAAAATGACTGTGTGTGCGTGTGTGTGTGTGTGTGTGTGTGTGTCGGTGTGTGTGTGTGTGTGTGTGTGTGTATGTGTGTGTGTGTGTGTGTGTGTGTGTGTGTGTGTGTGTGTGTGTGTGGCCTTAGATCGCTGTGGGACTTTTTAGTGTTTTGGTCAGACAACATCATATATCATGGTGGTTTTTATAACCCAAAGAGCTGTCGGAAAAAGAGCAGATAGGAGAAGGGGGGGGGGGGGGGCTGAGAGGAGAGTATGCAGGAAGGAGACAAGATAAACGAAAGAGGAAGACAACAAAAAGGAGGCCACTTGAAATATCTCAGTTCAATAGATGAAGTGGGGAAAAAGGCCTTCGGTCTTTAATATTAAGCCTGCAAAGCCTAATTCAGTGAAAACACACACAAAAAGAAACACAAAAAGAAATGGTCCTTACCTTCTAGCTTTGTTAGACACAAGCAGATGAAAAAGTTTGTGGAGACAGCTATATTAAAAGACTATCAACCATCATCATAAATCACTTACCACTTAAGAAATAATATGGCTAATGTCAAGGCTCAATCATTTAAAAATATATTCTGTATTATCCTTTCGGAGGATGCATGCAAATCAGTTTAATAAAACTTTAAATCCTCTTTGCAAAGTCTGTCTGTGCTCAATAAATATATCCACTCAGCAATTTGGAAATACACATCTTTATCTATCATTATTTTAAAGGGACTCATTGCTTAAATACATCCATATTAGCAATATAATATTCTCAATAATGGCGTCAACACGGCACTGCAAAACATGCAAATAAAGTTGATGCAAAAAAAACTAACATAATTGAATATTTATCACATTTTTCAGACATCCCCCTCCTCCTTTCTTTCCCAGGTTTCTGTGCTCTGTGTTCAGGACGGACGTGATAAGCTGCAGCTTTTAGCTGGCTGACAGAGTAAAGCTTGAATGAAATGGAAATTGAATAATGTTCTCCAGCTCAGTGCCGGGAGTTTATGGCTTCGTACGCTACTTCCTGGGAGTTCCAGCAACTCCCTGTGCAACAAATAAGAGCCAATATGTTCTAAAGAGCTAAACTCGGCCAGTTACCCTCTGGACAAACATACAGCATAGCAGATACAGCATGTGTTTGTGCGTGTGTGTTTGCAGTCGTACATCATTACCTGTGCTGGCAGGTGTAATGCAGAGGGGAGTGTTAGGTTGAAGCATCAGTGGTTCAGGTCCGTACACGGCGCTGAAAGAAGAAAACAGCAACTTGAGTCAGGATCAAGATGGGTCCAGTATGTAGGACATTAGTTGTAATAATGGTATCACTTTAACTTTGTGAATTACAGCATATATAGATAAATCTGAGGCATTCAATCTCAGTCCAGTGCGTTTATGAGGTCACGACACTGAGTGAAGATGTTGGAATGATGATTTTCACTAGTGCAGACATTTTTTAACAACACATATTTTTGTTCTCCCTTTTGATCTTACATACTCAGTAATACCTCTGTCATTGTACACGATAAGAAGTTTAAAATTGCCATTAAACAAATATAGAAATACTATTCCTGATGACCACCAACTGTTTTTGCGTATCCATCCATGATCCAAATTATTTGTAAAAACCTTTGTGAATTAATCTTGAGAAGGTCAGATGGCGGTTATAATAAGCAGGATTGTTGGTTGGGTACTTATCTCTTTATTTACATGTAAAAGTAGGAAGAAATGTGGTATAATAATATTGGGTAGCACATTACAGATTGCAGTGTGTCTGCGAGTTCAGAATGTTTTGCTGCTGGTGTAATCAAATTCTTCTCTAAAAATCTCTCCTTACCGATATACAGTAACTTGTGGATTTGTCCTTTTACCCAGGGCCTGCAGTAGCAGGACATGAGCCCTCTGGTTCTGAGGTCCCTTTCAACTAAGGGGAAAGTGGACCACAACCACACTTCTCATTCACATTTGTGTTGTTAGGACCCGCTGCATGCCGACCTGTGCTGACTGTGCATTGCTAAATCTCTATTCTATTTGACTGTAGCTGATTTTAATCTGAATAGTCGGCCTAATCCATGATTGAGCCCTTATCCACTGGGTATACATCTTTTTGTCAAATGATTATCAGCACAAACTAGTATTTGTTTGTGTGAAAACCAAATCAATTTCAAACTTTTTTGCTCTTTGCACCACTGCCAAAACGTGTTACAAAGCACAGAGAGAGACACATAATGGAGACACAAAAATGTACAGGACAAGTATGCCATACAGAACTAATGATGAAACGCTCTCATTCAGATTTGTGTGTGTTTTAATGGACATATTATGTCCTGGGAGGGAGACCTTAACTGTAACTGATAATATCCATCATTCACTAAAAATAGAAGATATATCTCTTGCAGTTTCTGAAAAAGGGAATAAGACAAGCCAACGACAGAAAGCTCCAGTTTTCATCAGACTTAATTACTTCCAATCATTTATACGAGTATTATAAAACTGACATGAAGCCAACAGTGTGAATAGATGCAGGTGGTATAGCTACATGGATGAATTCCATACATACACAATGTTAAGCACTTTTATATGATGGAGGTCATTAACATCCACATGTAGTATTCAACTGCATGGGTAACTAACACATAGTGGAGGTAGTGTATGTGTAAGTTATGTGTAACACATTTAGTTGTTTTATGAAATGACACAAGCAAAGATAATCACTCAAACCTGAATTCAAATACCAATATGTATTGTTTTATATTTCTAAAAATGTTTCCTTTAATACTGAAACTCAGCAGCCAATTCAATGTTAACTTAACTTAGGCCTACAAAAACATTGAGCCAATTTAGATATCAGCTAAATATGGACGATTACAGAAGTCTGCATAACAATGTAACACACAAATATATATTGCACAGAATGCAAAAGGCTTCTCTTCATCTCCAACATGAGAACATATTTTAGTCAGTAGCCACAGCAGGACGTTAGAAAATGTCTGGAATATGATCGAATTATACACATATTTGTATCTTCTTATTTAATTTTTTATTGCAAAGAAAAATGAATTCCTGCTTACTTTTATCACCCCTGCATTGATATATCTAGAAAGTAAGTGGCCCTTCAGTTCCAAGGATATGTCTTGTAATAAATTACATAATGACATGAGCAATCTTTACCTGAGCTCATTTAAAGATTCCGTCAAACGTGTCCTTCAGCCCACTTGGTCAAACAAAGAGGAAGATACATTATAGCCAAGTGGTTATTGAGTTTATGTAAGTCGTTTTGGATAAAAGCTAAATGGTATGCAACGCAATACATTTTATTACTCATCTTGTGTCAATGAGCAAAATGAAATGACTGATTTTGATCAACCTGTGATGTTGTGAATGCATCCTTAGAACAGGTGTATTCTAAGGATGCTGTCACCTCCTGCCATGCTGTGGCCTCCCACTGTCTCCTGCCACCGGGCTCTAACCTTTGTGTCCACCAACACGTCAACAGAGTACAAGTCAACAAGAGCAACACATTTCCATCCATTTCCCAAAGCCAATTTTAAATGTTTAAAAAGCAATATCGGGCCACATATAATTAAACCCCGGTGTGAGCTATTGCATGCTGTAGACTAGTGCTGCACAATATATCGAAAATCTACCGTTATTGCGCTCTCTCAAAAGTTGGGCCATTTTGTCTTCATGCGCCAATGAGCAGCTCTCAAAGGAAAGAACGAGGCCCCGCCTCCGAATCCAGTTCTTATTATACATCCATGGTTCCCTCGTCTCAGAGCCAATAGGATTTCTCCAGCTGGAAATAAGGGCTGTGGTTGACACAAATTGAAGAGGCGGATCACGTTTTGTTCTACGACATTAAATACATCAGCAGTGACCCCGCTGGTGATTTCTGAAGAGTTTACGTGTCTGAAAAACGATGGCTGAATAGGACTACAGAAGTTGTGGAGGCCGTTGTACGTCATTACGCCGAACACGTAAACACTCCTCTAAGTTTGTTTTCCCTGTTCTGCTTGAAAGCAAGTCCCTGCCTCCTGCAAACTTTTAAAACAAATGCTTCAACTCGTACCATTTTGAATCTGTATGTTTGAATATGGATCTTAAGTTGGCGTGATGTTGAAGTCGTGCGACCCTGCATTACTCGGCTGTAGTTCCTTTATAGCATAACGTTAGCATTTTGCTTCTGGCGATTAGATTTATGATTCGAAAATTATAAAAGTAGGGTAGACATGTGGAGATTATCCTGCTGAACAAAACGTGCATTTATCTAACAGGTTCGTTTTCCACAGACCTTATTTCGAGCTATTTTCCAAAATCCTATGGAGAAATCCCATTGCTTTTTTGTGGAGGGAACCCATGCTCAGCTTACTTCCGGGTAAATACAGTACGTCATCCCTGCACCACTCTATGGCCAAGGTGGTAAAGCCCATGTTAGCGGAACATAGTGATGGCTGAAGGGAGAGAGACGAGTGAGGAAAATATTGGGGTAGAACATGCAGGAGAAGAACTGTTATGTACAAAAGACAGCACATCTATACTTTGGAAGTATGTTTGTTTCAAGAAAGATGAAGTGTTATAAACGGGTTTTAAGCAAGTCATGACGAACACATGCAGCAACCGCCAGAGGAAACAGGAGGCATCCTCTGAGCCACAGCTCCTGTTTACATTCATTATATCTGCTAAAACCACAGCTGCTGCTGCTACAGTATTTAACCACCATGATGCTACAGTATAACCACTCCAAACTCTACACACGACACTTGGTTATTAATTCATATTCTAATTTCTGATGAAGGAGAGTCCGCTCCGGTCACCAGTCTGATTTTGAAAAGTTGAAATGTTTTTTTGTCCGGGCAAGTAGTGCCGAACGATCGGCGTATATACATTCACAACAGTGGACTTGAGCACGTAAAAAAACCTGTGTGTACGGCCCTATGTGTACGCGTCAACCCCCCCCCCCCTTGACAGTTCTCTACGCTGAGAGAGTCCTTTACCTCACTGAGCCTCTCAGTCTGACAGGAGAGGACTTTCCCTTCACCTTGTTGTGTAAACAGCTTCTTATATCCGTTAGTGCAGCTATCTAACCAGATGCTAAGTAACAACAACAATCCCTGGCACCGGTGTGCTCTCTCTCTCTCTCGCTCAATCACACTAAATGCGCGCGTGCCACACACACACAGAGCCGAGCTTCAATGAAACACAGAGACCCAGAAGTACTTGTACTATACTGTAGAATATTATTTTCGAATCAATCATTTTTCAAATTATGAATTTCACAATGCCTTAATCTGAACTCATAATATCATGGAACACATCTTTGCTTGGCGAGAAGAACTACACTGCTGTTTAAAGGAAAAATAAAGATATCGATAAATATATATTCATGTGTGCAGGTAGTTATGTGATTCTCTGGAACAGATGTCCAGAAAATGTTGTAAAGGGGAGAATCAAGAAGTTTTTAAATAATATATGAACTATATAACAAAACAATTCACTATATTGTTGGATTGGAAATAATGGTCTATTTTTGTCAGTTTCTGCATAGTCTGGGGTTTTGTTGGCAGAAGCAGAAAGACATTAACAATGTATTTTAAATATTTGTTTAAATATCGCAAGGGATATCGTCATAGCAATATTCAACAGTGTTATCGTATGTGGTAAGTGTTCCTGATATCGTGCAGCCCTACTGTCGACAAGATGATGAGAAAAATGAGAAAGCTATAATTGATACGTGCCTCCTCCATGCTAAGCCTCTCATAGCTGTTCCCTGGAAAATGTAAGTGAGGCCGCGCGATGTCCTCCTGCCTCTCTTTGGAGAAAATGACTTACACTCTTAAAGGAAAGCAAGGGGCATTTCATTCTATTTGGGAATCTTTCATGCATTTTCTGAAACATGTGGATATGTAAACTTGGTAGTTAAAATAAAACTAAATAAAACATCACTAAGTAGATAGATATTATCTCCACTCAAGCTACAGCCCACAAAGAGATTAAAGCAAAAAGAGAGCCTGCAGTTTGCCTGCACACACACACACACACACACACACACACACACACACACACACACACACCACACACACACACACACACACACACACACACACACACACACACACACACACACACACACACACACACACACACACACACACACACACACACACACACACACACACACACACACAAAGCTGCGATGCTCGTCCACTCTTGCTCCTCTGTACAGTGAGTTTCAGCCATGGAGGAGTGTGT